ACAAAAAAAAAAAAAAAAAAAAAAAAAAAAAAAAAAAAAAAAGAACCTTTCAATGGCTCCCCACTGTCCCCTAAAAAAAAAGGTCAGAACTATTGATTCTGGCATTCAAGGCTTTCCACAACCTGACTCCCAAATCTCTTCTTCCTTGCTGTATCTCATGATACCTATACTCCAGCCAAACTATTCCTCATTCTCTGAATACACCTCTTATTTTCCCACCTTTGCTCACACTGTTTCCCATTCTCCAAATGCCTTTTCTGCCACGTGTCCCCCCCCCCATTTTCACCCACTGAAATCCCACATATCCTTCAAGGCCTAGTTCAAAAGCCATGCCTTCCATTAATCTTCCTCTGCTCACTCCAGCAGGAAGTGATCTCTTATAAAATCCTATAATAATGGCTTGTAGCTATTCTATCTACCTACCATATCCTCTTTTGCATTGGTTATTTGTGTGCTTGCTTTTAATCTCTTCTATTAAATTGCTAGTTTCTCAAGGGCAGGAACCAACTCTTGTTTGTCTTTGGACCTGCCTGCATGCCTAGCACAAAACAGGAACTTAATACATATCTGTCCGATGAATAAAACAATTAGTTGCAAATGTCACTCCCACTTCATAGACCGGCCTGATGCTAAGTCAGAGTCAAGCTGACATTCTTGCAGCTTCCCCACTAAATGTGGTCTAACTCAGTCCTCATGCCTAAACACTAGGCCTGTGAGGAGTTCCTTTCCTCCGCTGTGGTTTTCTCTATTCACAGCTTTAGATACTGCTCCATCATCTCTAGAAAGGGAGAAAGGGAAGACCCTATGATACACAAAAGCATCCTTTGGGACTTGCTCCATGATGGACCTCTAGACTTGGCCCAGTGTGGAAGGGTGTTCATTGTGTGACGGTATGTGTGCATGTGTGACTGAATGGTAGGTAGTATATGATCTCCAGGCTGGCACAGAAGGCCTTGGAGGTGAGAAGGGTGCAGAGCAAACTCTAGAAAGCAGTTGTCATCAGTCACTTTACCTGGTGAGTGATTCCTATGTCTGTACGTAACCCCAGAGCCAAAACCTCCTCCAATCTGAAACAGAGATGCAAACAGAGCTGCACCAATGCTCAAGGGATTCTGGGGAAAGGAGTCACCACCACCACCACCACCATCATCATTGTCATCATCATCATCATCATCACCACACACACACACACACACACACACACACAATGACATACACAATGTCAGGTGTATTTGTATGTGTATATGGTAGGTGAAGCCCTAGGAAATACACAAAGAGGGGAAGGCAGTCAATAATAATGCTCAGAATAGTCGGTGGGGGTGGGGAACAGTACAGAGAAAAGCTTCGCCCAGATATACTCACAGCTCCAGCTCACTCAGGGACACTCGTTTCCGGGTGCCATGTCCAAACATTAAAACTTCCTTCATCCAATTATCAGGTTCCAATGTCTGGATTCGAGCTTCCCGAAAGCTCCCTCCATCCCCCTGGGGCACAAATCGCCCATGGGCCCCTAAGACAGAGAAATCATATTAGTATAGCTCACTCCTAGCTCTTTGATCTTGGCCTTCCCATCTGGTCATGGGACTCACCAGGCCCAACACCTATGTACTGACCACCTTGCCAATAGGTCCAATTATGGGTGCTGAGAGCTTCCTGCAAGGGAAGGGGAGAGTTAGTGCAGAGCCCGTCCCCATTGGGTGATATGAATGCCCAGCCTGGGAAGTTCCCCACCCAAGTTAGGGCATATGCCATATGCCATAGGCCTCACACAAGTATCCTTGAATTAGTCAAGGAAGGAGGAGTATATGAGTATACGAGCCCTAGAAACCCCCAGGCAGATGCCACAGTGCCTTCTCAGGCTCCCCAGTGCCTTCCCAATGTTTGCCCTTTCCCCAGTTCTGATGCCTTTCTACCCATATGCCCCACCCTTCTCTCTCTACGGCCTGGACTTCCTCATTGCCCTCTGAACAACTGATAGCCCCTTCCCCTTCCATCCAACATCATACTTCAAAGTAATGGCTCACATTTCTCGCAAAGTTGGAAACTTCATATTGGCGGAAGCCGGCCTCCCTCAGGACCTCCCGCCCATCCTGGTACATCTCAGCTGCAGCTTCTGGGTCTGGGGAGGGCAGGGTCCCTTGCTGGACCTGGGCAAAGAGCAGAGTGCCTCTCTCCAGGGTCAGATGGTAGAGAGAGATGTGGTCATCACAGAGGGAAAGTAGCTCCTGCAGCTGCCTGAGCCATGGTTCCACCTGCTGCGCTGGGAGGCCAAACATGAGATCCACAGATGTGCGCCCTGGAAACAGACGCCATGCCTCTTCCAAGGTCCTCAAGGCTTCTGACACTGAGTGTGTCCTGCCCAGCAGCTGGAGTTCTGTATCATCTAAGGACTGAAAGAGGGAAAGGAGAAACGAAAAGGAGGGACTGTGAGGGAAGAACTACAGTGTAGCCTGGTTTGGCAAGGGGGCGGAGGACAAAATTTGGCCTTGATGAGGTATGGATGTGAGCATATATGGAGCAGGGAGAAAGTTAGAAGACAGGCAGAGGGCTTCTGGAAAAAGAGAAAAGTTGGGGTCTGTGAACTTCTTTTCTTAAAAAAATGTTTTGATAACTACTATTTTATGCATTTAACAACATTATTTTGAGAAGGTTCCAAAATCTGCTCAAGGGGTCCATGACACCAAAAAGGTTAAGAAGGGTAGGGAGCTGACTCAATCAGCCAATTAACCTCAGAGTAAGACCTAGAGAAGGGGGAGGGGAGGCAGAGCAGAAGGGCTGTATAAGGGGAGGGGAGTGGCTGGTCACCTGGACGCCAATGGATAGTCTGTTGATACCTGCCCCTTGGAAGGCAGCCAGCCTTGATGCCTGTGATGAGGTCGGGTTGGCTTCTAGAGTAACTTCAGCTTTGGCAGGCAAGTGGGTAGTCTGGGCGATAGCCTCCAGGACTGTGGCCACTGTGTGAGGGCTAGCCAGGCTCGGTGTCCCCCCACCAAAGAACACAGAGTCAATCCTAGAAAGGAAGCAGCAGCAGAGGAGGGGGAGGGGGATGAGATAAGGCCTAAGCAAGTGCCCTGAAGGTCCCCAATCTTTGTATTCCTTGTACTTGGCGCAGTGCCTGCCCCCAGCGGTTCTTAATAAATGCCAGTGAATTGACTGATTGATGCCCTTCCCCTCCCATCTCTCCATCTCCAGAAGAAGGTCCCCTCCAAGGAACCCACCGTTGCACCCCACTGAGTTTCAGGAGGGTAGTTGTCTCCTTCACAAGGCATCTCTGCATAGCATCTTCATCCAGCCCTCGGGGGATATACTTGTTAAAGTTACAGTAACTGCAGCGCTTTTCACAGTATGGCCACTGAGAGACAGAGACAGAAACCGAAAGACAGAGACAGACAGAGAGACAGAGACGAGAGAGTGAGAAGAGAAAACAGGAGGGAGGGTGGGTGAGGCAGGTGACTTTAGGTCACCCAGCCCCTTCCAGGGCTCAGCTAGGTTCCTAACACTACTTCTCTATCCCAATCTTTCAATGCTCATGAATACCTTTGATTCCAGTTCCCCAGTGGAGGGAAAGGGGAGAGACAGCTGCCTCTCTTCCCCATCTGAGCACCCCCAAACTCAATCCTTCTCTTCTCCAACCCAGGATTCTTCAAGGTCCGGAAGCGTACTCCATCCCGGATCACTTCATTTTGGTTTGGAAAGTTACAGGGATGGTAAGTGGAGGAGCCATAAAGGAATAGATAGATACACTCTTTTGAGGGACAATGATAGTTGATTTGATAACGGTTCTAAGAACTATTAAGTGAGGAGAGCAATATTTTCTAAATCATAAAATAAAATGCATAGGATTATAAAGGAAACCAATGCTACTAAAATATAGTTATTGAAATATTTTTACAAACAAGTTGCCAGACTGCCTCCCAGGGCAGAGGGAAAGGGCTCTCAATTTCCAAACTGGGAGCAGTGCTGTCCAAACCTAAAGCTGGGGCTGGGGCAGGCGCTGGTGCTGGAGCTGGAGCTGGAGCCAGCCCAGGGCTGGGATTAGAGGTAGGGCTGGCCCTCCTCTACTCACGTGCACGTAAAGCGCGGCGCTCCGGCTCCCAGGCGCCGGCCGCTCTTCGGTTCGCGGGCGTGCCTGGCCGTGTATTTGACCTTGGCCGGGTCCCCCGACGCAGCTCCGTCTGCTCGCACATGGAGTGCCTAGGGTGGCCGCGGCCTTGCAGCAAGCCCGGATCCCTGTTAACGCCAGACTTGCAGCAAGCCCCAGATCTTGGTCACGGCCTTCGGCCCTTCTTCCAAAGCCGTCCGGGGGCCTGGCTTCC